CCTGTTCCCCTACCCCCTCATTCCCCCTCTTCCCCTACCCATCCTCCCTCTTTCTCAGGCGATAAATGGTGGGTCCTTGAATGACAACTTAATGAACTGTTTCTTTGCTTATCGCTATTTTCATAGCCTTTATTTTTCTTTCCTTTCGTGAACAGGAGTATTTAATATACGGTTACTTTCGCCAACGATGGAAAGACTCACGCCTAGCTGGAAGACTTAATTACACGCTTACCATAAGCGGAGCTGATATCGACAACATCTGGGTACCAGATCCCTATTGTTATAACGCCCGGGAGTCAAATATGATGATGTTAGATACACAACTGCACAGCAGAATATCTGTTGATCCCAGCGGAGACGTCTTGTACAGCAAAGGGTGTGTAAAAGTGAGACAATTCTTTACTTTCCTCTGCTTAACGCCTAAGTTAATAAGACAGTGAGTAAGTCAGTCAATCATTCATCCAGTCAGTCACTAACTCCGTCAATCAGTTAGTCACTAAGTCCGTCGGTCACTCACTAATCCGTCAATCAGCCAGTCAGTCGTCAGTCAGTCAGTCATTCAATTATTCAGTCAGGCACTAAGTCCGTCAGTCAGTCAGCCTATGCTATGTCGATCCGCCAATAAATCAATTGTTAAATAGTCAGAACTGAATTTAGTCGGTATTACGGTCAGTCAGTCTGTCACTCAGTTATCCAGTCCGTCGATCAGTCAGCCACGCAGTTATGTCGATCCACCAGTTAGTCAATTGTTTAATGGTCAGTGATTGAGTCGATCCGACGGTCATTCATTAAGTCATAATTTGGATATATCAACAAAGTTGAAATGGTAAATTGGCCACGGTAACGATTACAAAAGCTGACGTTTCGAGCGTTAGCCCTTCGTCGGAGCCCTTCGCTCCGACGAAGGGCAAACGCTCGAAACGTCAGCTTTTGTAATCGTTACGGTGGCCAATTTACCATTTCAACTTCGTTGATATATCCAAATTATTTCGTTACTCCCACCGATGCAGCCCCAAACAGTTTCTTTCGAAACTATCAGCCTTTATTCAATCATTAAGTCAGTCTGTCAGTCGCTCGAGCAGTCAGTCAGTAGACCAACCAACCAACCTATCAGTCAGTCAGTCTGTTTGTCTGTCTGTCAGTCAGTCAATAACTCGGTCAACACGGTCATACGTTCATCACCTAACAGTAGTAACTTTTTTCTTACACTTTTTATTCAGAGTGACGTTGCTAGCCTCTTGCGACATGAATTTGCGAAATTTTCCTCTGGATTCCCAAAACTGCTGTCTAAAATTCGGAAGCTGTAAGTAAATCTTAAGCTTTACGCTCTGATCATTAGAAATGATGGCGCATGCCTTGAAATCGCTGAATCTAAAAATGAATTCCCTCTTCCAACTACTAAAAATGTCCTTTTAAATCAATTGAGGAGAATTTGGTTATAACTTAAGAAAATATACGAAGGTCGATGTGCTTGTGCATTCTCATCACCTGTCTTGTTTAGAATGTTAAAACTACAAAGAGAAGTTACAGGTTGATCAATTCCGAGGGTTAAACGGCTGATATTGGAATGTTGTGCCTATTCTTTATCCTGCAGATGGATACAGTACAGATCATATTCACTTTGAATGGGGACCTGCAGGTGTTTCTGTAGGAAATAACGAAATGGCTCAGTTTGAGTACAAAGGCAACAAACTCTCCTCGGGCATAGACGAGTATAGCGTTGGTAAGCATCAGGTTAAGTGCTGGACTGTTCGATTCTACGAGCGTAACAACATCTCTGTTTCCTTCCTTCCTTCCCAAAAAACTGCTTCCTTGTGTTTTGCATTAACTGCGTCAATTGATCGATACAGAAAAAAGATGATAAAGCCATTAAACTAGATGCCTCGTGTATCGCGCAGTGTCAACACTTTGCTTTGCATTTTTAGGAATGCGTGATATTTTTTTGGTAAGCGGGAAAAAACTTTTGCAAATTTCTGTTCTAACAGCAGAGTTATTAGTCTGGAAAGTAAGTATCGTTATCAAGTATCTGTCGGTTTATAAGTAATCGATAAACAATTCGGTGTGATATTTCTATTTTGACTTTAAGTAGTTAATTTTTGCGGCGTTTTCTTTCGCTTTCTTTTAATTTTCGGAAGCTTCTTTTGGCGGATCGAAAACAATCCTCGAAAAATAAATCATGCAAATTTCCAGGCTTAGTCCGAAGTTATTTATTTCTTTTAATTATGCTATTTTTAGATCCCTTACGTTTTAAAAAATCTAAGGAGGTTCAAGAAATGACTAATCGTGGGTCGCAAAGTTTTTCCGTGATAAAACTTGAGAAGCGCATGAAATAAAAAAAGAGTCGCGTTAATGACTTAGCAAATGGTATACTCGTTATCTAAATCGGTAAAACAGTTTGATGTGTAGTATTCTTTAAAAATCATCTGGTTTTATCAAATGAGTTTATAAATAAATGTAAATTGATCACCGTAAAGGGTTCAAAGTTGACATTTCGCGCGTCGTCAAACCTAAAAAAATATAAAGTATAAAATATGGATTACTTATGATGGACTTACGCTTCAACCTGTATTAATTTTTATTTCGAACAGGTAATTTCTCGACGGTTACAGTCAAGTTTATATTTGAGCGACGAGTCGGTTATTACATAATTCAAGTGTATCTTCCAGACGTTTTTGTAGTGGCACTGAGCTGGATAGTGTTTTGGATGGACAAGAAAGAAATGGGGGACAGAATGGCTTTAGGGATCACCACGATTCTAACAATCATGTTCCTTCTTGGCTCTCTTAATGCAACCATGCCTCGAGTCAGTTACCCAAAAGCTTTAGACTGGTACTTGCTGGTGTCGTTTACGTTCGTGTTTCTGTCGCTAATTGAGTGTATGGTCGTGTTTATACTTACCTTGAGGTCTGGCGAAAACAAGGATAACTCGAAATATAAGGTACCTGTCCTGCCAACTAATTACGCGTTCTTTTTGTTAAAACGTTAGTATCTGTGTTTGCGTTGCAAAGGACGTACTGAAAAAAGAACGAAAAATATTTTTACATTAAGCAACAGATAATTTAGGGTGCTTCAGTTCAAAATTGATTGAAAACGTGCATAGACTGTGAGATACGTACAGGTGGTACCTTTGGTTATGGTGCAGATTTCTGAACTGAAAGATGGGAATTGCAATAATAACGACCTCTTCCTATGTCAACCCAGGGACAAATGTACAACTCTGCCACTCGTTGATGGCAAAACTGTTCTCAGGGTTTGAAAACTTTTGTCAGTAACTCAAAAACCTTCCCTGGTTTTTTTTTTTTTTTTTTTTTTTTTTTTTCCTTATTTTGCAGTTGAGTTCAATTCCTCTTTCAACGATGGATATCAGTGAGTTAACGCTGCCTCCGCTAGAAAATAGCGTTAATGGAAACAAAGAAATACATATCAATGGAAAAGCTCACCGGCTGTGCTCTCCAGAAAAAAAGGACGGAAACGTGAGAGATGATAGACTGGCCAGATATTTGATTGACAGCAGTTACAAGACAACGGCCGCTGATCGCGTTGATCAGGCGTCTCGATTTTTGTTTCCAGTGTTTTTTGTGATTTATAACATTGTGTACTGGGCTATGTATGCCCTACCTGAAAAGAAACTTGAGTAAGCATCACAGGACATAAGTAAAAAGAAAAACCAGCCACATCAGCGAATCAGGTGACGGTTAATGAATGCAAAATCTAATACCAGCGCTTCACACTTTTTTCATTATTTCACTACGAAGAATCACGAGAACAGAATTCCGGTTTTTCAACAGGTCCACATCAGTAACTCTTCGCAAGTAGCAGACCACTGCAGTGTGTTTTCACTCAGCGACAGTACCGACCCTGACCATGCTTATTTTGTTTCAACTGTATGCCGAATCAATGTTTTTTCAATGCATTAATTTCGCATTCGTTTACCTGGCCGAAAAGCATGCACTTCGAAATCAATGTAACAAGCACACGAGCCGAAGCAGTTAGGTTTTACGCGAACTGTTTTGTTTTCCATTTACAAATCTAACTGTCAAATGAAGAAATCTACAAAGTAAGTTCCTATCACCAAATTTTTAATGGCGTTACACGGAAGAGAAGCTTTATTGATCAACACATTGCTCAATAAGGACCGTCAAGATAGGTACATGCAGTAAACAAACTTGCCCAAAGAGACATGTAAATGTTGCTGCCGGATAGTTGCATTTTGCAATGACGTTCACAAAGTAAACGTTTCGCAAAAGAACCAGTAAGGAAAATAAACTCGTTAACAAATGGTAATGCATTTCATTGTATTTCAAATCTATGAAAAAGTGTCAAGCTTAGTTTGAATGAAGACGAAATACGCTGATAATGTTTTCCTTCTCAAGCCGGTGAGCAGGTTTTTGGCAAGAAATAGTCACTTACCCATCTTTCAAATTAAAAAAAAAACACACCTTT